GAGTTCATGACCTTCAACTTTGCGATGCAGGCTATTGACCAGATCGTCAACTCTGGTGCCAAGACGCTCTACATGTCCGGCGGCACCCTGACATGTCCTATCGTCTTCCGTGGTCCGAACGGTGCGGCTGCCGGTGTTGCGGCACAGCACTCGCAAGACTACGCTGCGTGGTACGGCTCGATTCCGGGCCTGAAGGTGGTCAGCCCGTGGAACGCGGAGGACTGCAAGGGTCTGCTCAAGGTGCGTGTTCTACAACGTGCAACGATCCACTGGCCTGATTATCGCGCGCCTGCAGGCTGCGATCCGTGACCCCAACCCTGTCGTGTTCTTGGAGAACGAGATGATGTACGGTGTCAGCTTCCCGGTCTCGGCGGAAGCCCTGTCCGACAACTTCGTGCTCCCCATCGGCAAGGCCAAGGTCGAGCGCGAGGGCAGTGACGTGACCCTCGTTGCGCACAGCAAGATGGTCACGCACTGTTTGGAGGCGGCAGATGAGCTCGCCAAGGAGGGTATCAAGGCCGAGGTCATCAACCTGCGCAGCATCCGCCCGCTCGATATCGAGACCATCAAAAAGTCGATCAAGAAGACCAACAGGTGAGTACTGGCATTCCGGGGTGACCGCGCGCGTGCTGATGTACGTCAAGGCTCGTCACGGTTGAGGGTGGTTTCCCTGCCTTCGGCGTCGGCTCCGAGATTTGCGCCCAGGTCGTCGAGAGCGAGGCATTCGACTACCTCGATGCGCCTGTCGAGCGCGTCACTGGTGCTGATGTCCCCACTCCCGTGAGTTCCGCAATTGACATACTCTTCCTCTTACGTGCTGAGTTTGTTTGCAGTATGCCACCAACCTCGAGGCGCTTGCCTTCCCTGACGGCCCTCTGATCGCCAAAGTCGCGCGCCGTGCGCTGTACCGCAGCAACTGAGCGATCTCGTCAAGTAGCCGCCCTCGCCACCGGTTTTGTTTTGGCTGTATAGACTTATAATACGCTATGGGTCATCTGCTGCTACACTATTATATTTTGTACAGACTCCGGCTACAGGGCGCGCAGGCGTATCCTCACGGCATTGGCGTGTGCATCCAAGCCCTCGCAGTCCGCCAACGTCGCGACTACCGGTCCGAGCTTCCTCAGCCCGTCTGCAGTCACCTCCTGAGAAGTGATGTGCTTTTGGAAGGAGAGCGTGTTGACGCCGCTGAACTGTCGGGCGTATCCGTTCGTAGGCAGCGTGTGGTTCGTTCCTGAGGCGTAATCCCCGCAGCTGCAAAAACGTGCATCAGCGATGGCCTCGCGGTGGCTTATCGGGAATTCGTACCTCTCCGGAGAGTAAGGACCGACGAACACGCTGCCGGCGTTCTCGACTAAGGGGACGGCTGCGGGCGCGTTGCGGAGGTGCAGAATAAGGTGCTCCGGCGCGTAGTCGTTCGAGAACGCGAGTGCCTCCTCGACGGACTGTGTCCGGACGATGATACTTTTAGGAATGGACTGGCGCACGATGTCGACGCGCGGCAGGGCATGCGCCTGGGCGTCAACCTCGGCTTCGATGCTGGCCACTGTGTCGTCGGACAGATTGACAGTGACAAGCACGACCTGCGAGTCCACGCCGTGTTCGGCCTGGGAGAGCAGGTCCGCAGCGACGAACGCAGGGTTGCACGTCTCGTCGGCAATAACCTAGGACGGAAGTCTGTATGCGGGAGGTTTTGAGAACAGGGGGCACACGCACCAACACCTCGGACGGCCCCGCAGGCATGTCAATCGACACGAGGGCGTCCGTGTCGTTCTGGACGAGCATCTTTGCCGCGGTGACCCACTGGTTGCCCGGCCCGAAGAGCTTGTCGACCTTGGGCACCGTCTGTGTGCCGTACGCCATCGCGGCGATGGCCTGGGCACCGCCAGCCTTGACGATCGCGGTAGCGCCGACGAGGTGCGCGACGTACATGACCTCGGGCGAGATGCTACCGTCCGGCCGCGGAGGGGTGGCAAGGACAATCTGCTTGCAGCCCGCGACTTGGGCCGGAATGCCGAGCATGAGCGCAGTGGAGGGCAGGATCGCCGTGCCGCCAGGCACGTACAGCCCGACACGCGCGATGGGCCGAGCAAAGCGCGAGCAGACGACGCCCGGCATCGTCTCGACCGTCATCCCCGAGTGCTCGACCTGCGCGGCGTGGAACTTGTGGATGTTGGCGTACGCGATGTCAATGGCTTCGCGCACGGCGGGGTCGAGCTGCATGGTCTCGGGGCTGTATGGCGGGAAGACGACGGTCGAGGTGAGCTGTGCCTTGTCGAACTTGGCCGTGAGCTCGAGAAGCGCGGCGTCGCCGCGGGCGCGCACGTCGTCCACGATGGGCTTGACCTTGGAGATCATCTCGGCGGAGTTGAGTACGGGGCGGCGGAGGAGGGCGGCACGTTCCTCCGGGGACGCGGCCGAGAGATCGTAGCTGCGCATGCAGATCGGAGAGTCGGGCGCTGGGCTTTGCACGGAGGCTGCCGCTGGTGCTTTGGAGGATGATGCGGCCGCGTTTGTCCACTGCGGCTTGGCGTTCCCGGGGCGGCGCGTCACCTTTCGTGCCTTCTTGTCGAGCGACTGCTCGATGTCAGCAATGCTGACACCGGCAGCGACGCAGCGGGTGAGTGCAAAGTAGAACAAATCGGCGGCCTCGAACGCAACCTCCTCCTTTGTCTGTGCACGGCACAGCTCGTCTGCTTCTTCCATGATCTTGGCGCGCAGGAGGGTAGAGTCGCTGAAGAGACGGCGGGTATACGAGCCCTCTGGCGCGGAAGCGAGACGCGACTGCAATGTCGCTTCCAGCGCAGATAGCCCGTGTGCCTCTCCAAAGCACGACTGGCGGTTGAGGTGGCAGAAGCCTGCTCCGTGCTGGACAACACGGTACTCGAGGCAGTCAGAGTCGCAGTCGAGACGGATGCTGACAATGTCCTGGGTTGCCCCCGAGGTCTCGCCTTTGCGCCAAAGGCCGTGTTTGCGGGATTGATAGACGCCCTTTCCGGTGATGATGCTCTCCTTGACGGATTCCGCAGAGGAGTAGACGAGGCCTAGCGAGCGGTCGCCCTCGAGATAGGACGAGACGACGGTCGGGAAGAGGCCGTCTGGGCGATCAGAGGCAACGGGCGAGAGAAATGCATCGGCGACGTTGATTTGTTTGTCGGTTGTCTGAGAGAGGGTGAGGGAGGCGGCGGGGATGACGGGGATGGCGCCTGCTCCGAGGAGAGCACGGATGGAGGAGGGGGAAGGAGGAGCACTCGCGGGCAGCACGTGGATGGTCGAGCCAGAGAAGAAGCGTGACACGGAGGAGATGAAGTCGACGTCGAGGGAAGGTGTCTTGATCAGCACTCCCGATACGCCGCTCCGAATCTTGTCAGACACTGCGCTCACATTGCCGACGTCCAGCAGCAGCAGAAGACGGTCCGCAGGCAGGCTTCCTATCACATCCTTGGCGGATGCGAGCGGCAGGATGACCTTGTCTGCGCCTTGGTCGAGCCACGATGTAATCTGATCTGCGCTGCTCGAGATGTCGTCGAGGATGTACCGAGATGCATGCCGCGGCAAGGAAAGCCCAGCGTCGGACGCGGAAACGAGCACAGGGCCGATGCGAGTGAGGGCGCCGACGAGGGCGCTGTCTGCGCTGCTGTCCAGTAGCGGGAGGAACACTGACATGGCGGACTAGGACGTCGGCCAGAGGGAGCCAGAAGGAAGTAGCGAAGCTGCACTGCGAAGCCGTACTTGCCTGCTCTCAATTTGGTGACTCGGCTTGCTTTTTCCATTTGCACGTGCTCGCCCTTGGGTTTTGGCGCCCAACTTCCCGATACCGATCCGCGATCCTCCCTCCCAAGATGGCAGCATGCCTCCCATATTTGGCACATAACGTGCCGATCATGCCTCGCGTTGGTGAGGACCTCGCTAATCAGGCAGGTGTGCTGCGGCTTATCCCATCCCGATCGTAGAAGCTCGAACGACTGGGCCTGCCATCGACTGTCGGTGACACTCTCCTGCGTCTTCTCGGATGACATGCTTCGATCCAGGTGAGTATATACATAAGTGGCCGGTGGAATCGGACGTGGGCAACTCGCTCTTCCCTCTTTCCCCCACGTTCACCTGTATCTGTGCTTGTTGCTCGTAATACGGCGATGACAGAGCCCGAGGCTCAATCAAGTACTTACTTGCGCTCGTGAGCATTCCACGTCGTGTCCCACCCTGTGTTCGCCATCTTTACTGGCCCTGATACGGACGCAAAATCGATGCCACTATTTCCTGTTGCGCAGTCCAGTCATATTTATCGCACGACAGTTATCTAGATTCGCGGTTGTACGTTACACGGGAAGCGCAACATCAGTGGACATCCGGCCTCGGATTCTTACTGCGGCAGTCAACGGACGAACTACGGTCAACTCATACAGCGCGCAATAATGTTTTGCGCCATAGAGCGTCAAGAAACATCGGCGTGCTTTTGTCGTATTGTGTCCCTGCACATGCTCACTCTGGGAGCTTTCAGGGCTCAGCCCAGTACTCGCTTGCACGTTTCAGGTCGTGCACGGATGCCCCATCTCTACGTCCACTGCGGCACTGCCAGTACTACAGTATATAGTACCATTGCCTGATGTGCGGTCGGACCATCTGGACCGCGCAGAGAAAAATCATCTATATTTGTAGATGCGATGCGCACGCTATACACGGAGCCCAACATCAATGTTCTACAAGGATGATTGAGGTGGGACTCTTGGGAACGAGTACGCGCACAAACGGCCAACGCAGCCTCTGCTTCCGGCGAGCTGCAACCATAGAAGAGTCATACCAGGAACACGACCAACCCACTCGGACTGCAACATATGTTCGCCACAGACAACGTTGAGAGATATGTGAGCGTTTAGATCAAATTCCCTGTGCACCTCGTATTGGGCTGTAGTAAAGCTAATACTTCTCACCACTGCATGAACTGGGACTGTCATTGATACACCTGTATTGATAGAATGTGGATCATCGGGGAAAAAACGAGGCCCTGCCAGGAATCGAACCTGGGTTATGGGAAATTTTGATCAATCAACCGCGATCGAATCTCATCAGAATCCCATGTGATAACCGCTACACTACAGGGCCTTGTCTTCTTGAAGATAGCAATATATCATGGCGCTCGCTTCATTTCCATGTGAAGCCCGAAATCCCGTCTATGCTGACCGGTGTCGATACAACCGCAGGATGCGTAGGGGTTGAAGGAGGGACCATATTGGCGTCCTGGGAAACAACATTCGCGCAAAAGTGGACATGTTGTGTCCATGATCGTGCGCTCAACCCAGTGCCAAAACAGCGCGGCTCGAAGATACAGGGATCGAGCGTCCCGCGAACGTTGTTGGCTGCAGTTGCGGATGACAAGTCACGGCCTATAGGCTTTGATATCAGTTGCGCGTCAGGCTATAATACGCCGGGCTTCGCAGGTCCTCTGCGTGAGTACATTGCCTAAAAGTGACCAGAAGCGTACTGTATGTGCGCAAAGTGACTCGACGTGGAATTGCAACTGGCAATAGCTTCCGCGGACAAGGTGCCTCGCGCTGAACGCGTGTTCTGTGGACATGCTACGCGAAGCACAGAGGATTGATGCATTATTTTCCAGCTTAACGTTGTCTCCACGGCGGAATGGCGACGAAGAGACAATGCAGGATGGCGAGGACGAGGGACAAAGCTCGGACAAAGCTGAGCGGTGGCCGGGACGCGACCTGACGCGACAACATGCACCAACAGTGGCGATTGGTTGCCACAGTCTCGAGTGTGGCACCCGACAATATTCACGATGGCTGGCCCATGACGACCTCCAGCGATAGAAGCCCGTTTACGGACACGTTTGACAGGTTCGATTAGGTTCTTGCTCGACGGCAAGTACCAGAAAAGAACACGCTTTCATCGTCAGCTGCTCCGCGCAGCCCCGCTTCCTCTACTGTGGCTGCGATATAAAGTCCCTGCCCCCACTTCTCCCTTCATCTTCTCTCCCTTTTCTTGCCTTACTACTGTCACCGCCCATCTTCTCCACATACTATGGCTCCTCGCATTGCTCCATCGGGTTCGCAAGGCGACCGAGGTGGCACTCCGGCGCGTGGCCGTGGCGGCGCGAGCAACCGTCCTGCACTTGCTGGACGTGGCGGCGGCGCGAACGTTCGTCCGGCGATTGCTAGTCGTGGCGGCGGCGCTATAACGCGTCCCGCTATTACTGGCCGAGGCGGCGGTGCGACTCAACCCGGCCCTGGACGTGGCGGCGCTATCATTCAGCCCAACATCGCAAGCCATGTCACTACCATCGGTGTCAAGCGCACCGCGTATGGCACGAAGGGACGAAGGATCCCTGTCTTCACTAACCATTTCCCGGTGGCGATCCCGGACAGTGTGATCCACCATTATGATGGTACGTAACTCATGATCATCCGTGTGGCACGCGCTTTGAACCATCAATGAACGCGCTCCGTTCGTGGCCACAGTCGGTACGTACACTATTCAGCGTCTCGCACTCTGTTTCGAACGCACATACTTTAGTTATCAATGGGTCCTCCGAGAAGACGCTCCCCGCTCGACTCAATATCGAGTTAATCGAGCGCCTGCAACGCGTGGTGGCCCCCGATGTTTTCACACCCAAAGCTGTATATGATGGTCGGAAGAACATGTTCGCTGCACGCGAACTTCCATTCGGCGAGCCGGAAGTGACGAGCAAGGAGGTGCGCGATGACACTTGCCTATCGACGACGTTTACTAGATCTATGTTCAGTTTGATGTGACCCTCGGGGATCCCGCAACTCCGGCGCAGTTAGCATCTGGCAGAGGGCCTAAAGTCTACAAGATTCGTTTGACGCACGTGGCGACCATTAACCCCGAGTAAGCATACGCGTCTTTATGGCCCGTATCGGTGCTTGATGACGACTTGCACAGGGTCCTGTTGCGTTTCTTGGAAGGTAAACAATCCCAGGACAACATGGTATTGACGGCGATCACGGTACGGTGCTATTGTACTAGCGTTAAGTGAAAGTGACACGAGTCTATCAGGCGCTGAATGTCGTGGTGAGGATGGACCCGACGATCAAATGGCCCTTCAATGTGCGATCGTTCTTCACGGACATGGAGACGAAGAATATCGGTTCCGGTATTGTCCTGTGGCGCGGCTACTTCCAATCCGTTCGCCCTGCTCCGGGACGAATGCTCATCAACGTCGACATCTCCACTGGTACTATGTATCAGCCGGGGCCTTTGATCGACCTCTGCCTGGCCTCCATGGGCAAGCCGACTCCACAGTGGCTGACCGCCAAAGAGCTCCCCGAACGAGAGCGTATCAAACTACAGCGGTTCATCTCCGGCATTCGGGTCATCACGAAGTCACCCGGACCGCAAGGACAGGCGAACCGGAGGGCCACCCCGCGTGTAGTCAAGAAACTCACGCAAGCTGGGGCCGATGCACTGTCTTTCACTATGCGCGAAGGCGGTACTATGACAGTCGCGCAATACTTCCAGAAGACCTATAACCAACGCCTGAAGTTCCCTGCACTTCCGTGCGTGGAGGTATGTAGATGTGCGCAGAGCATCCTCCGCCTTCATTTAATATCTTTGATCAGGTTGGCTCTGGAGCACTCATTCCTCTGGAACTGTGTGACGTGGAGCCAGGCCAAATCATGCGCAAACAAGTTCCCCCGGAGAAGACGAAGGATGTTTTGGAGTTCGCCACGAAGAGGCCAAGCGACCGGCTCGAAAGCATCAAGCGCGGCCTGGGTGTGCGTATATTTTCGACATTATTGCAATATGTGACACTGATTTGTATCGTATTCCGCAGGTCCTTGCATACGGAGAGTCGGAATACGTGAGAGTAAGATCAGATGTACTTGAGCTGTATAGGTACTCGCTCATCCCTTCATAGGAATTTGGTATGCGGGTGGACACAGCGAACGCGACCCTTGGTCTCGAAGCTCGCGTACTCGAGCCGCCGACTCTGAAGTACGGGCCGCGTTCAAAGCAACCCAATATTGTAAACCTACTTCTTTCTTTTGATGCTTGTGGCTGATGCTCTTTGTGCTCGAGACACCGGAAAGGGGCGCTTGGAATATGTACGTTCAGCCCATCTTGTGTTCGCGGGGCCAGGCTCCTCACGCAGTACATTCAGGATCGACAAAAAATTCTATAGAGCAGCTGCCATTAAGCAATGGATAGTCGTCATCTTCGAAAGTGATCGTCGCTTCAGACAAGAGGATGCTGATGCTACGATCAGAGGATTGTTATCGGCGTGCCGCGAAGTTGGTGAGTCTCTTGAGTCTTGTTTGCGTCACTAGGCGCTCCCGCAATGGAATCGTGTGATTGACATGCGCCCAACTAGGCATCGAGGTTGGAGAGCAAAACCCCATGCTTTTCTACAGGAATCCGCAAGCAGACATCGGCAAAGTCCGTCAATTTGCCTGTTATTGAAGTTGCACCTCACTCATGATGTCTCATTAGGTGTTGTATGAAGCAGGGAAAATCTGTTTCGATAAGAACAAACTTGGCCCTGGCCTTGTCGTCGCTATCCTCCCAGAGGGTAGCACGGACACTTATACGGCGATTAAGCAGTGCGTGTCTTTTCCGTTGTGCGTTTATACCGCTGACCAGTGACCACATGACACAGCTGGGGCGACATCACGGTATGTGGTGCTTAGTCGCTTTTGGAGCATGAAGCTGATGTGCGACCATAGAATGGCACACCCACTCAATGCCTCAAGGCAACCAAGTGCAGAGGGGCAAAAGCCCAGTACTTCGCCAATGTCTGCCTGAAGTGAGTAAGAATTGTCTTCTATGGAGGGTCATCATTGAATGTTCTCATCAGGATTAATGTCAAACTTGGCGGCATCAACACGATCCCTGAGCCTCGATCCGTCTCGATGCTCACGGACCCTCGTAACCCAACCATCGTGATGGGGTGAGTTATGCACACTTTAGAAGGAGCTTACTTCTCATGCAGCCCACCACAGAGCTGATGTTATCCACCCTGCACCTGGCGCGGATGGACGTCCATCGTTCACAGCGGTCGTTGGCAATGTCGATTCGGATTCAGCGAAATACATCGCCAGGTGCAGCGTGCAACCTTCCCGGCAAGAGCTCATCGAAGACCTTTTCGCCATGACCCATGTGCGTAGTACTGTAGCGATTTGTAGACCACCCATACTGATCGGCCCGCAGAGTATTATCGCGTCATATATGGACTATCAGAAAATTATGGAGAAGAAGAGCAGCAACTTTGCACCCACGCGCATCATCTTTTACCGAGGTGCGTCAGAACCAGTTATGCGGGGCCTGATATCATACTAAGGATCCTCCAGATGGTGTCTCTGAAGGACAATTCAAGCAGGTTCTCGAGTTTGGTAAGCACCCATTGAATTCGCACGATTGATGTACTAATATAGGGTGCAGAATTACCCCAGTTAAGACGTCAGTCCTCATTATTGTACCATATCCTCTCTGGTGCTCATTGGTGCAGGTGCATGCGAGGAATTGAAAATCAATCCTGCTATCACGGTGGTCGTGGTTGGAAAGCGTCACCACGTTCGTTTCTTCCCTCAGAGGACCGCAGATGCCGATAAGAGCGGAAACTGCCCTGCGGGCACTGTCGTTGATCACGAGGTCACCCACCCGCTCGAATTGGACTGGTATTTGCAGAGCCATGCTGGATAAGTCCTCATTTTGTCGCTGAACTTCACTTGACTGACACGTGGTGATGTATATACGCTGCTGGGAACTTCTCGCCCGGCCCACTACAGCGTTCTTCATGATGAGAATGGATTCAGGTGCGTCAATTCACCATTGCAACATCTTGATACCTGATCATCAACGGTGTTCTCCAGCCCCGATGGGCTGCAGGCACTATCCTTTGCGCTGTGTCACGTCTATGCCCGTTCGACCCGTTCGGTCTCGATTCCGGCGCCGGTGTACTGTAAGTGGATCCACTTCCGGACGTCAACAAATAGTCGACCTGACCTGAATCCAGATGCGGACATTGTATGCTCACGTGCCAAAAATCATTACGACCCAATGGCAGGCAACCTGCATTTCTCCGACGAATACTCTCAGACCGATACGCTATCAGCAGACAAACAACTGGAGCA